GATCCTCGCACGCGAATCAAGAACACAGGCGCGAAAAACTCTCGAGGCACTCTGGATTAATTCCAGAAATCCGAAAATGAACCGCAGGGAAGAATGCCTCATTATCACGCGTGATATAGGGCAGTATATAAAACTGCTTTTCTGGTGTGAGGGGCACATTATACTTCCACGTGATTTCTGTGCGGTTGGTCTCTACGTGACATACTTTGTGGAAACCTCATAGAAAGCGGTGAGTGTGCAAAGCTGTGTTCAAAGTGATTGAAATCTTGGTTTGGAGTTTCTTTGTTTGGTTATGGAGGCGTCTGGCCGAGTGAGTTGCTATCAACTTGACCTTTCCAGGCTCTGAAGAAGGCGAAATCCGCCGAAACGTCAGCTTAATCGTGAACAAAGAATAGTAACACCTCGAGTTTGCTCAACAAAAATATGGAGGTTCTAGTGTTTTAGCAACATTTGAGGACGGTCTGTCTGTGTATTTTGCTGTTTAACGTCTAAAATGATATTTATGCCTTTTTTCTATGGGTTTGAATTTCATCAGTTTTCGTCAAAGCCGTTAACTTTTCACATTGACGTCGTAAAAAGTGAACTGTAAGAAGATTTCCGTCCTCGTTATCACTGCACATTTGCTCTCGTGTCTATTGATTGTGTCTTGAGGAAAGCTCACCATCGACGCCTTTAAGTGCAAACAAACGTCGGATTGCTTTTCGGGATTCGTCACTCTTCACGAATAACTTGGATCTCTGCTACCGGCTAGAATTATGTAAAAATTTGCATAATAATGAGGACAGTTACACATTTTCTCACTTTGTTCACAGGTTAGAGGTGGGTTTAGTGCAGTGCTTATAGGTGCCGTGTAATACACACGTGTCCATTATATTCGCGCCGTATTCGCGCCTAAGACTAACTTAACTCACGTCTCTACGGTGTTGGCAAATTGGTAGCAGACTTGTTTCGGAGGAAGGCAGCACTGATACATCGATAAGCTACGGAAAGTTATTGTATAAACTAGATATGTATTCAATCACCTCTATGTGCTTCCAGTGGAGTCGAATGTATGGTGCATCGATCAACGTCGAACATTTTACCTATTTTATGGCTTATTCGCAAAATTCATTAGCGTTCAACCCATTGACTAAGCAACTCTCCTCGATTCCTGGCAGAACGCAGAGCACAATTCGGCAGTCTTTTCCATTATCTGCTGCTTCGTGATGCTGTGCCCTTCCAGCTCTTCTATCGCGTTAGAATACGCATAATTTTCCTAGCACCTCATCTTTTCAGTAGTAAGATCTTAAGAATTGCGTTTGGCTTGCCATGTGCCGTTTGCTTAATTTCCTTATCGGACGAGTTTCGTGTGAATCAGAATATTCTGTTTTACAGTAAGAACGTATTTTATGACTAGCAATTCTGGGCATTTGAAAGGTTTGGAAGGAGTCTATTCTAAATCTACGACACAATCCAACATGTTCCAGCCAAATTTGATAAACAGAATATTCGAACAGTTGACTGTTAGCTGGAAAAAAATTTCGAACGAAAACATGTGGTGATAAGCGTGGCTGATAACACAACGTATGTGTTGGTGGGGAACTCATAACGAGAGAAATTGGAATCACCCGTATCTCCTATAGTCCCGTTGATCGTCGAGTGACTCTAATGGACGCTAGTAAATCTTCCATTTTTCCTTGTCGCGTGCAGGAGTAGCCCAGTGGGTTCTGCTCGCTCTAGGGACACGTTGAACGTCATATCTTTGTTCTAGGCTTTTCGTGAAAAACTCTGACCATCGAGTCAGTGGTCTTCCAGCCGTGCGTTTGACATCCCGAGGAATTGAGTCGCTCGCAGCTCTTGTCCATCGGTTGCCATTCATACGCATTACGTGTCCGGCCCACCTTATCTTCAACTGTTTGGTGTACAGAACGGCATCTTTGGTTTCTGGTCGTTGACGCAGGTCGGAGCTTCGGATTCCTTCTCTTACTTGTGTGAAACAGGATACTCATAGCATCGTCCTTTCGACTGCGCTTTCGATAAGACTAAGTGATCTTTATCCTGCTTACGTATCGACCAGGTTTCTGAGGCATGCGTTAGGACAGGAAGTACCGTTGAGTCGAAAAGGTGGGCACAGAGTCAGGTGTGCTTTATTCTCTTCACTACATCTTCGATGCTCTTGAAAGCTCCCCGGGCCACTCGTTTCCTTCTGCTCAGTCCTGGAGCTAGGTCATTCATCACATTGATTTCCCGATCTAGATGGATATAACTGGAGCATTCGGAGACATTCGTTCCGTTGAGCATGAATGGGACATACGAAACTAATCCGTTTCTTATGAATGTGGATTAAAATGATATGATGATCCCCTGGGGTGTGAGCTCAATGGTAAGAGACACCTTGCAATACAGATACGATATCCCGCTCCTAAAACTAAGCAAGTCTATCACTCTTACATGATAGGTAAATTGTACCATAATTGCGAGGATAAAACCCCGAGCTTGATGCATTGGTAATGCCGCGAAAGTTACTGCTTAAGTCAAGTGTACATCCCTATCACGAAGTCGAACAAAAGGCACGTCCCCCTCTGGGATTGAACAATTCCAAACGCTTTGTCTTGTGTGCTTTTATAACAGTTCTTTACTTGATATGAATTGAGTTCTAGGAAAGTGACACTACTTCGGATTTTCCGTTCAGAACCAGACGTTTCATACTGAATCATTTTATTTCCTTTTCGTAATGAACAATCTGTGTTATGCAACCACAATGATGCTGAGAAATTTCCAAAACTCAGGCTGTGTTACATTTGTTCTGGGACGGAAGTTAATTCAAGGGATGACCTCACCTATTATGATCGACACCATTGACGTCCGTTCACAATAATATTTATGCAGATGTGTGTTGATTTGCCTTCGTGTACATGAAATCTACACATTCATTTGACCAAAAGGGCTCGATATCAAGGAACTGGGATGTAAATACATGAGAGACGATGGAACTGTGGCTGACTAAGAGGGACTACGTCTACTTCGGGAACTCCGAGCAACCTATTCAAGAGCGCAGTCAGGTCCATATCTAGAACGACAGACGACAGCACTCTTCTTGACGAAAATGTCAAAAGCAGAACAATCCGTGTTTTAGTTTTTCGAACGAGCTAAACTCAGTGGGCAATTCTCGCTTGCGATAACACCGTGTGACTATTTGATTGATGATTGTTCGAAAAACTCTGTGGATAACAACAACTAATCTATTTCGATATTTTATTCATATGTATGGAGATTTTTTGACATATTTACGCATGAAATATTGGCACTAATTGGCTTCAGGTTAAGCCATATTAGCAGTGGTGCTGATGATGGTCGTGGTGATCGTGATGCCCATGGTGACCATGACGATGAAACATATCGCGTAATATGCTGTGATGATGATGACGATGAGGTTCTTGGTGATGGTGATGATCCTCTTGCACGATAACCTGCACATGAAAAAATTTGATCAATGGGATGGAAATCTTAGGAGAGAAGTACAAAGGTATTATAAAATTTGCCGAGAACACCGGAAATCAGCACAAGTTTTCCGCTGACAAGTCCCTAAGAACAAAGAGCAAGTTTTAAAGTAACTCTGTAAATATTTCTATTTTAATGTCCGATAAAGTGAATTCTTGTGGACTTCAACTACAGCCTATTTTCTCGTCTATTCATGAACTGAATGAGCGATGAAATCACCAAGGGTTTAGCTTGATATGCGATTTTTCTCCCATACGTTCGATCACTCTTTGTTGAGGACACCGTGAATGGCCTTACCGTTATGTCATAATTATTATGATTATGTGAAGTGATTATGGTTATTACGACTTATAAAAACCCACGTTGTAGCTGTTTCAAAACGAGAAGAAATTCGAACTGAATCAAGAACTTACCGGTGGTGTGATGTGAACAGGTGGTTGAACGTATGGTGGAGGTTGTGGTGGTGGATACGATTGTCCATAAGGTGAATAGCCAGGGTAGCCATACTGTAATCAAAAGGCTACAGTCAATTTAACCAAATATTTTTTGGGCAGTTTTTTAAGCTGTTATTTTTGGCGTTCATTATACTCAGTAGGATAAACTATTCCCTTCCTATATAAATCTTAGAAAAAGCAGTACAACTGTTAACGTTTGTCATGGTGATCTACCGTAAAGATTTATTGTCGCATATATACGTAAACGCCAGTTGATCCCCCAGATCAATAAGCACTTGTTGATCTATTAGATCAATATCTTTTTGGACTGAACAAAAGACCGTTTGCAGTGAGGTAAGAAGGACCAGTAAGAGTTCTTTCCAAACTAGGTTTCAAGAAATACACGATGAATATTGATTTCTGCTGAAAGCGGGAAACAGACCTGATTTCCGTAGTATGCCATGATAGCTGCTGATGAGAAGTGACACTAGGCAATGGATGTCCGGAAATGACTGGCTATTTATTGGCAAGAGTTTTGTATGGGCGTGCTTTCGTTATCAAACAAACGTCACCGACTACAGAGAAAAATGACTCATCCTATTTTGGTGACTAATTCTCCGATAATTTGGATGACCTGTCATGAAAATACTACAGGACCCGGCCCACTTTCTCCTTTCCTGGTACTATACTGGTTTAGCACGTTCCCTTTTCTTGAAGACGAGGGCTAATCATATTACACCATCTCGAGATCGTCATCGCAAGAAATTGCTGGTCATTTTAAATAGGATGGGTGGTTTTTTCCAGGACGTTGACGATTCCAATTGATTATTTCTTAGCGTAGCTACCAGAAGGAAATGTGGAATAACATTCCAATCCTTGCTGGTACTTCACCTCTCGCCTTCACCCTAATCACTGCTGAAAATTTCGGTTTGAAAAAGCCAAGATAGGCGTTTTGTCTCGGTGAGGTGGTAGACCATTGAAGAATAAGGGGAGAGAAGGAAGGTCGATTAGACTCCAGAAAAGAATTTTCGTGTTTACCTTCTTTTCTGGTTCATTTTCACAGAAATTAAGGTAAATTTTAGGTGAAATAAGGAAACAGCGCGTTCTATGAATTTCTGCTGTTGTTGATAATCAACCATTCGTTCGCACTTCATAGTGTTGCATACTCGTTCCTCCTTAGTACATAAATTGCCCATTTCCACATATCGTGAGCCATATCGTCATTTAACAAAGTAGGCGGTTTTTTTGTGGATATGGTCAGTCGAAGCTTTGCTGTTGCCCCGAAATAGCAATGCCGTCAGGGCGCCACTACGTCTAGTAGCCTACTCTCGTAGTATAAAGGCATGATCACTCTTTATCCCAGGCTAGTAATAACTCCTGCGACTAGTCGGCCGGAGTTAGAAACGACAAAATCTTCACATGTTCCTGTTTACGAACGAAATATTGGTTTCTAATAAATATAACCTCCGTGGAATTTTCATTGGTTTTCGCAAGGCGTCAAAAATTTTCATTCGGCTGTGCTCAATTCAGGAATACGAAAAGATACGATGGGCTTTATATTTACCGTTTTTCGGAATGCGGATGGAACTCACGGATCAGTTTTCGTACCCTGCTCCGTCGTCGGTTTGCTGTTACTTGAGCTCCCGAATAGAAATGATGAAATACTTAGCGTACGCTGCAGTTTCCACTTATGTTTGAACTACTAGTGATTTAAGAATAAAGAATAAACCCTTCCTGCGAAAGTGAAGAAAAACTCCGTTTAGATATAGTTTCATATAATCGACTGCCGAAGGAGAAATCCTGATCCCAACATGCTCAACTCTTGAAAGACAAACCTAAGACAAAGGAAGTTGTCGAAAGGCCTCTTAACGTACCTTCGGGATTTTGGTATTACCGTGAAATCCTTTTTGAGTGATACTTGGACTTCGATTGGTGAAGACTAGTTCTTTTACTACGCAGTCAGATCGCAGTAGAATAGAACGACTAACAACCGACGCGCGATGAAGAATATCGGATCGCAAACTTTCCGTTGTCTAAACATTTTTAGTTAATCCATATTAATATTTGCTTTGTGCAAAAACAGCATCATACCCGAATGCTCACAGCACACTCTTATGGACTTATTCAATAGATTGTGAGCACGTTGGATAAGGACGACCGTGAAGTGAACACTGTACACGAACAGCTACTTCGTCGTCTCATCGGATGGGTTGAGGTGCCATTCTCGACGGTGTTCGCAATGGGAAAAATTGATGGCTGGTTACGAATTCAACGACCCAATTTTCATACAGAATACAGGTAATGCTCCAATTTAGAGTCATAAATAAGAGGATAGAGCTTTAAGCGTTGATCAATTACTGAGGGATATGCCATGCATTCGACCTCATTAGTCATCGTTGGAGGTGACTGCATGCACATCTGGCCTTTATGATGACTTGCGTTGGCCTACTGATGTATCAAGCCAGTGCTGCTATCCTCCCAGGCATGTCTGGTACCAGTTTGCCGACCCCGGAGGGATGGAGGGCTTGGTGAACAACGGTGGTGTGGACCCGTGTGTATTGCAGGGCATCTCCGACCACTGCTTCACGCGCGCCTTATTTACAGTCATGTTGTTGAGTAATGCGAACATAAGTATTTTTGGATAATTAGGAGTCTTCGGTATCTTATTAGAAAGTAACTTCCACGACCGACTTTCTACTAACCTCGGCATTGATCAAGTAATTTTGTTCGCATTTTTGTTGAGCAAACTCGAGATGTTACTATTCTTTGTTCACGATTAAGCTGACGTTTCGGCGGATTTCGCCTTCTTCA